AGGGATTAAACCTAATTCACAGTTTAAGCTCATTTCTTTTCGTGAAGTCTAATAATATCTACCCAGGTGCACGTTGATCAGTAGGATCTCGCCCAGAAATGTTTCTGAAACAGCAAAACTGAAAGTTCATGTCTGAGAAGCCTTGAACCAAAGTCAGTCCTCTATAGTGCAGTCACCTTCCTCAGGGAATCCTGAAAAGACAGAACTCTCATTATCAAGCTGGGCCTGGGTGTTTGCCTTTGCAGAGGCCCCTACCTCCCAGGCAATTCTGGCACCAGGGAGTAGGTCTGCGATGATGGGAGAGGGAGTGACACAGTGGACATTGGACCACAATGGAGGGACTCAGGTTAGCTTAGGTGGGTCGCAGGAGAGGGTAATGAGGGAAGAGAGGAAGGGGCCAGAAGGTGCCCTGGGATAGGGGCTGTCACACTTCTCTTGCTGGTCTGTCCTAGAAGGCAGGGACCCTGCCTTGCTATCTTCGCATCCTCTAGCATTTGGCATGGTGAGTCGGCCATACTCACTGTAGTGGGCACTCAGCAAATACTGATGGAATGCCTCTTTGAGTCTTGTGAAGACCAATAAAACAAGGAGCTGTTTATCATCAGGCAAGTGGGTTGTGGGTTATTTGGAGGGGAGGAAGATGTTGCTTTAGCTGTAATCTATCTTCTTTAATCGGATTTCATCGGTAGTGTTCCTTTCTACAGAATGAGAGGGGCTTCCAGGATGTTTGCTTGGGTGGACACGACCCATAGTGTGTGGTGCCCTCTCGCTGGGCTCCTCATATCAGTAATAAGATTAATTTTAACATTGCCAAGCCCCAGGAGATAAATGGGTTGTGATTATTCCAAGTCACTTTCATTTTTTACTCAGCATGATGTTTCACTATTAAAGAATGAACCCTGATCCAGGGTTGTCGTCTTATGTATTAAACATGATTTCCGTAGTTAGTAGACTAATTTATAATTATAATTCAAAACCAACCCTTTCTCCGGTGGATTATTGCCCCTCCCCCCTCTGTTTCCAGTGGGGGAATAATTGTTTGTCTAGGCTGCAGGAGTGTTTGTCATGGAAACTGAATTTTTTCATACATTTTCTGAACAAACAGTGCCATCAGATCTTTAGAGAACCTGATGTTGCCATTGAGCTACAGTTATCAGAGGAGTTTGTTGCCCAAACTAAATCAGACATCTTTTCTCTTAAAGCCAATGGCCCATGACTCCTGAGGGGCCTCTAGGAACGAGAGAAACACCTGCAAGAAGGGCCCCAGCTGCAGCCAGGAATGTGTGACTGGAGGCAGTGCCTCTCAGCCCTGGCTGAGTCAGTCACCTGGGGAGCTTTGTAAAAACCCTGTGCGGAGGCCCCACCCCAGGTGAATGAAATCAAAATCTTTAGGCATGGAGGCTGGCATCCTTTCTTTAAAAAACATTTTTGTAAGCCCCAGGTGACTAATGTGCAGCCAGTTTGAGGCCATTAAGTAATTCCTGTACCTTAATCCTAGACAGAGCAGATGTGTCTACCTGTGCCCTGTAATATCACAGAGCCCTGGCCTGGCCTAGAGACAGCTTTGGGCTTTTTTTTTTTTTTTTTTTTGTCTGTGCTATAACTTTAATTTTTTTTTTATTAAATCTTTATTGTTCAGATTACATTTGTTCCTCTTTCCCCCCGCCCCCCATAACTCCCCTCCTCCCAGTTCCCGCCCCACCCTCCGCCCTCACTCCCCACCCACTGTCCTCATCCATAG